GAAGTACCCCCCACCACGTTGGAAGAAATCCATAATGCCTATTGCGCCGAAGTAAGGGCAGACGAGGATGACCTAAATGGCCCGATCCAGCGACTAACATCGGTCCAAACTGAAACAAGGAGAGATCGTCGCAACGACGGCCGAAAGAACCAACTACCCATCTCCTCCACGAGTCCGAACATCCAACCCATCTCCTCCACGACATGCAGACGCCGTGCCTCGCCACTCACCACTCCGAAATGAAAGAGGTATGCCTCCACTGTTATTTGCTCATAACTTTTGTGTTACTCCTTCTGAAATAGTGTATGCACTGGAAAAGCTCGGCACAAAGGTGCAGTGGCTGCAAAAGATGAAGTCACATCCGAGCACCCGAAGATCGAACGTTCCGTGTGAATTCCACTAGGAAAGGGGACACAAGACCGAAGACTGCATAGATCTACGACATGAAGTGGTAAGAATGCTAAACCAGGGACACCTGAAAGAAGTGTTGAGCGATCGAGGACGGGTTAACTTCGCTCGTGGACGCGATCAACCTCAGGGACCTCCAAAACCACTATCACCAGCTCGTACCATACAAATGATCATTGGCGTTAGCGACGATACAGTAATCAACCATGTGAAATTTACCACCACACACAAACTCAAACGAACAGTCGCCCACGAACGGTATGACGACCTCGAAGATAGTATCATCTTCGATAAGTCAGATACCAACGGTTTGTCTTTCCCTCACTATGATGCTTTGGTTATAACTTTACGCATCGCGAATACCGATGTAAAGAGAATAATGACGGAAGCGGTACGTGTATTATTCACCCACGAGTCCTCATACAGATGAGGCTCGAGGATAAAATAGTACCGCATTGTATAACACTAACAGGTTTTAATAATGAAGTGGAAAGAACCTCTGGAGAGATAGTGCTACCCGATCTGGCAAGAGGAATCACCCTAGAAACAACGTTCCACATCATGAACTAGGAAACAGCCTACAATGCCATCATAGGACGTCCATGGATACACGCCATGTGAGCCGTCCCGTCAAGTTACTATCAAGTAATCAAATTTCCTACCCCATGGGAGATATTCAGCATCCGAGGCGAGCATCGCACCGCCCAAAAATGCTACCAAATCGCCCAAGATTGCGCACACACCTAACAACTAAAGGGACAAGTGCGGAAGCATAGCAATCAGCCATATCGGGAACCAAAGCGGACATACAAATAGAGGCCTTCAAAGATCCAGATGTTGTAGAAGCTTGCAAGGCAACCGTAGAAGACCTCGACCCTGTTTAACTGGACAACACTGATAGCACTAAAAAGGCTTATATCAGACACAACCTCTCAGGACCAAGTAAGTACCATGAGTTCTTAACTAATAATACCGATTTGTTTGCCTTTTCCCATTTAGATATGCCAGAAATCCCAAGGGACATCGCCACACACATGCTGAATGTCGACCCTCTTTACCCGCCAGTACGACAAATGAGGAGAAAGTTCAATTCCACCATCAATGAGGTGGTTAGCGAAGAAGTTGATAAGTTACTTGCTAATGGTTCCATCCAAGAATCAAAATATCCCCAATGGGTCGCCAATGTGGTCATGGTAAAAAAGAAGAACAGGAAATGGCGGATGTGTGTCGACTTTACCGACCTGAACAAAGTATGCCCGAAAGATTCCTTTCCGTTACCACATATCGACCAGCTCATCGATGAAACAACGGGACACGAACTACTGAGCTTCTTAGACGCTTATTCTGGTTACAACAAATTCTAATGGCTGAAGAAGACCAAGAAAAGATCACTTTCATCACTCACCGAGGAATGTACTACTACAAAGTCATGCCGTTTGGACTCAAGAATGCAGGGGCGATGTATCAAAGGTTAGTCACCAAGATGTTCAAAGAACAACTCGGTAAGACCATGGAGGTTTACATCGACGACATGCTAGTGAAGTCAAAAAAGAAAGAGGATCACATTGGTCATCTGAAGGCAGCCTTCGAGATATTGAGGCAATACAGAATGAAACTGAATCCCGAAAAATACGCCTTCGGCGTAACCTCAGGAAAGTTCCTTGGTTTTCAGGTGTCACAAAGGGGTATCGAAGTCAACTCGGATTAGATCAGAGCCATCGAAGTAATACCAGAGACATTAACTAGTAAGAAGCAGGTGCAGAATTAGCAGGATGAATAGCTACCCTGTCGAGGTTTATTTCACGGTCGTCGGACAGATGCCATAAATTCTTCAATGTGTTGAGGAAAGACCACGAACTATAGTGGAATTTAGAATGCGTCGACGCCTTGAGAAAGATGAAAGCGTACGTATCCTCGCCACCACTACTCGTCAAGGCAGACCCGGGTGAATGCCTACTTATGTACCTAGTAGTCTCCGAAGTTGCGGTAAGTGCAGTCTTGATCCGCAAAAATAAAGGTACGCAATCTCTGATTTACTATATCAGCAAAACCTTAATTGATGCCGAAACAAGGTACCCTCACCTTGAGAAACTAGATCTGACATTAGTTGTAGCTTCACGAAAGCTTAGACCATATTTTCAATGTCACCCCATAAAAGTGGTGACAACCTTCCCCCTCAGGGGCATCCTACACAAACCCGAACTATCAGGTAGGTTGGCCAAATGGGCTATAGAATTTAGCGAGCACGATATAACAAACCAACCGCAAACTGCTATTAAGTTGCAGGTGCTCGCCAATTTCGTTGCCGGTTTCAGCGCGGAAATATTGCTGAAGTAGAGCAGGAGGCGCTCCGCGCTTTCACACATTCCGACCTCTGGGTCCTCTACACCGACGGCGCATCTAATGCGGCGGGATCGGGACTGGGACTCGTCCTCAAAGTTCCTATGGACGAAGTAATTCGCTAGTCCATACAATGCCCCGAAATGACTAACAACGAAGCCGAGTATGAAGCTGTGATTGCAGGATTGAAATTAGCCCTCAAATATGGTGCTCGACAACTTGTCCTCCATTGCGATTCTCAACTCGTGGTAAACCAAGTCACTGGGACTTTCCAAATCAAAGAACAGAGACTACAAAAGTACCAGTCAGAATTCACAAACTGCTGCCAGAATTCGATAAATGCCGCCTTGACCAATACCCATGACGCAGAATATCAAAGCAGATGGTCTCGTCAAGCTAGCGACAGCCACCAGAAATATCAACAAGGAAGTGGTCACTCTTCTCCATTCCGCAATAGACCAGTTTGAGGTACATTCTGTAAACCTAACTTGGGACTGGCGCAACCGTATCATAACATATTTGCAGGATGGAATGCTCCCACAAGATAAGAAAGAATCCAAAAAGCTTCGAATATAGGCAACCAGATACAACCTCATAAACTGTGATCTTTACAAGAGAACGTTCGGCGGCCCCCTGGCCAAGTGTCTTGGGCCAAATCAAACAAGGCAAGTACTAGAAGAAGTACACGAGAGGCACTGCAACGTGCACACGAGAAATCGCGCCCTCGTCCGATGCCTCATCCGCGCCGGATACTACTGGCCTACCATGAAAAAAGAAGCCGCGGATTACATCAAGAAGTGTGAACAGTGTCAAAAATACACCCTATGATACACCAAGCAAGAGAACTCCTGCATTCTGTCACTTCGCCCTGGCCATTCATAAAGTGGGGGATGGATATTGTCGGACCCCTCCCGGCAGACGAGGTAAGGTACGCTTCCTTTTAGTTTTAACTGACTATTTTTCTAAATGGGTGGAAGCAGGTGCATACACTCAAATACGTGAGCAAGAAGTTATCGCGTTCATAAAGAAAAATATAATATGCCACTTCGGCATCCCCAAAGAAATCAGCTGTGACAACGGACCTCAGTTCGTCGGAAAGAAAACGACCGAGTTTTTCGAAAAATGGCACATCAAGCGAATAATCTCTACACCATACCATCCCACCGACAATGGCCAAGCCGAATCCTCCAATAAAGTGATACTGAATATATTGAAAGAAGCTCGAGGACGCCAAAAGGTACAAGAGGCTGTACGACTTTTGCAGCAGCGTAGGCCCATTAGGGGACATTAGGAATATTCTTTCAAATATTCCCTATGACTTGTCTTTTAGGGCTTAGAAGGGGTTTGTCCCTTATATATAGAGCGTAAAACAACCTTGTAAGTTCTCTGAGCATTTTCCTAACTTATAATACTTGCTATAACACTTGCTTACATAAACGATTGATATCATTGTTGTTTAAGGTTTTATCTTGACAAGATAAAGAAATCTTATTCTCTGTATTCTCCTTGTATATCTTTTGTTCTAGAAATTATTATACTTAGCTAAGATTTACCCCTTCATTTTCTTTGATTGATTTATTCAAAAAGGTTCCGATATCTTTTGAGTCAAACAAGTTCATGTAAAAGTTTGTTATATAATAAAGCTGGCAATGACTTACAAGAGAGACAGAGAAATAAAAGAGAGAAATTAATATTTTCTTGAAAAGTTTTGAGGGAAGAGGCCTATGGAATGTGAAAGCAACAATTGAGTTTTAGAAGGGATGTATTACTACTTCCATACCTTTATGAGCATAAAGCTTCTCCTGTTTAAGAAATTGACGTGCTTTGTGACGTATATAATTTTTCTGTTTTAAGGATTTAGCGAAATTAATTTTGCTTTTTTTGTTTGTTTGTTAAGATTATATTAATGTTAAGCACTTTTCAATTTTGAATGATCTATTTAGGAGTTAGTGAGGTGCGTGAATGAACCTTGAACAGGTGATATGCTAGTTTTGAAACTCGAAAAAATATTTATATTTGTATGTAATACATGAAAAATGTATCTCTTCTATCCTTAATTTTTTTTTTTTAAATCTTTTCTATCTCAATTAACTTTATAACAACATTTTATGGTATATTTACTATTTTCTTTCTTGACCGCAATTTAACTAGTGTATATAAAAAGGAGGAGCACTCTCCGGATGTACAGATTTTTTCCGTTTCTTTGTTCAATGAAAGAAATTTCCTCTCTCTCTCTCTCTCTACGCTTTCCCTAGCTAGAACCCTAATTACAAATCACACAAAATAAATTCGATTCCTGTAATTTTCTCAAGTTTCTGGCATAACCTTTCTATAATATGTTTTGAATATTGAAAGTAATCTAGCTATTCATTTTCTGTTCATGATTATCCAACTTATTGTACATCATCAAAGAGCTAAATTCAAGCTAAATAACTAATCTGTTAGAATAATGGTAATCTGATACCATATAACTTCAAATGTGTAATCCATCAGCTGTTTTGAAGAACTCAAAATGAACACACAGGTATAATCTGGTATAGGTGGATATTTCAACATCGATCTATTGCTTTTGACAATTTATTTCATGTCCAGTTGAGTTCCTGGAAAAAAGAAATATTTATTTGGTAAATGATATCTTGTCTATGAAGAAGGAAGTTTCCAGAGGGAAAAATTTCTATTTTGTTAGAGCGCCAAACATGTTCCTGTGGGAAGTCAAAGCTATGTGTGGATCTCATCTACAGTAGCAGAGGCTGTTGGAGGTGTTAATGTGGGAAGTCAGGGATTGAAATATTGCATAACTGAACATCATTAACGGAAGAAATAACTTATGCAAATCAATCAATTCATAGTCTACGGAAGAAATGTTGCATAAATAAACATCATCGAACGTTGATTTGATGCTCCAAGAATACACCCCGTGTCAATTATCTATGCTGATGCGGCCGAGTCTAGACAAGGAATTGGCTTCAAGATGATCTGTCTCATCATAGATCTCTTCCTACACCAAGAAATTACCAATTTTAGGTTATGGAATTAAGAGCAAAAAACAGCTTACAGGAGGAAACATTTTCTTTACATTTAGAAGCTCCTCAATTACATCTTCCATGGTAATGATCCCAATTACTTCTTCTGATGAAAGTGCTGAAAGTGATTTTTCCTTAATTGGCAGGATCGCAGGATGAACTTCCTCTGACCACCTTCTGCTTTTCGAGTATTCCCTTCGTGAAATATTTGCATTGTATCTCTTTGACTTCCTCAATGATCGTCTGGCCCTTGAGCTTTTCCTCTGATAAAAGCTTTCTCCAGGAATGCTCAATCTCACTTCTCTTACTGAAGTGGCATTTCACATGTACAAATCAGCTTAGAAAAGTAAGACGGAGAAAGAGGAATAGATGAGCAAGAAAATCTATAGACTGTAAGTTATTCCTCACCCCCATTCGACAGATTGGCGCTTTCTTTCTCGGTCGTGCCATCGTGCTTTTTCACAACAGCAGCCATGTGGCTGAGACCTTTCTGGAATTCATTAAGTATGTCATACAATGGCATTGTCGCTGAAACTCTAGCATGTTTTGCAAACTAAATTAGTCAGGGGACTATTTAAAAATGTGAGATGTCAGTAAGTGCTATGATTCACTCAACTAAGAAAACACCAGTTTCTCAGTGCTTATGCAATAACCATGCAAAAGCTATGGACGATTTCTAGCTTAACTACCTTGGAATACGCCGTATTGTTACACTCTTCACAGAAAGGTTGTCTCTTGGATTAATTGTCACCAAATTCTTTACCTGTTTGTCAGAATATAAAATCTTAAGATGTTATCACCATAATTAGTAACCATACATTTGCAGAGTCAGGCATCTATATGAGATTGCTATTTTTAACTCAAGAAAAGCTCGATTTTGAATCATGATTCATTTTGAATCTATACAGACTCAGGCAGTGCTTGCTAAGTAGTTTGAATCTATACAGACTCATGTAAGCGATAAAGATGAAGGATTTTTCTTTGGGGACACAAGCATTTCCCAGCTTGCTTCAAGCAAGAAAGTCAGTTACCAGGGATATGTAATTTTACGTTCATCTGTTTTGAAACTTAGAATAAGCAAAGGAAGAACGGCATTTTGCTAGTTTTGGCCGGATCTTATCGATTTACGTAGCAAAGATAATAATACTTGGATGTTCTATGTGCAGTACTGAGCCAGCAAGAAATTACCAGGACAAGTCCGATTATGTTTGTTGGATGTTCGTAGTACACTGGAACCCTGCTATGTCCCTTCTCCAAGATTAAATTTATCAGATCCCTGCTGAAAGACATCAAATTTTCTTATCTTATGCATCTCACTTCTTTTGGTAAGCATTTAAGTTATATACATTATCAGTGCATAGAACTTGAACTTTCTCAGTAAATGGTCATAAGCTCAAGTACAATGTACCTGTCGAGATTGGCATTGACGTCAATACCAAAAGTTTCAGATATTGGAGTCATGGCATCCCTTGCAGTCTTCTCAGTGAGATCAAGTGCTCCTGCAATTATAGTTGTCTCATGAAGCAATAACTCTCCCCCCTTTCCTGCCTGATTAGTTACAACACCAAAAACTTAGCAGCATTGGCAGGTAGCGGTACAGTTCACATTAAATTAGGACAAGGCCAAGGAGAAGGAAGGGTAGAGATTTTGAAATTCTTTGACTTAATTCTATTAAAAAAGGGCAGCCCGCTTACCCTGCATTTCTGCGAGAGGCTATTTCCACGGTTCGAATCTGTGACCTCTTGGTCACATGACAACAACGTTACCGGTTACCCCAACGCTCCCTTCTTAACTTAACTTAATTCTATACACTATGTAAAATAGCTACAGGTGTCTATGAAAGTGAGATTATTAACCTTAAAATAAGACTAGTTACAGCAGATTAAGATACACTGTTAGCATAAAATTCATTTACATCAGACAAGCTGCATCCTCTGAAAGTAAAAGAGGGATAGAGAAACAGTCCTTCAGCGGAGAGTGACAGGTTAATTACCTTGTTACCGTGCATGTCAACTAGTGTTCTCAATTCAGCTCGTCGAAACAGAGCTTTATGTCCTTTCCCCAATAGGTAGTCTAAAATCTGGCGATTAACAATATAAGAAAGCAAACTTACACATACTACTCTTTTCTCATTAGTAAATTCATACATACTGGTTTTGGAAATATGCAGTATATGCTGCATTTCTCGTAAATGCAGATAGAAATAATCGCACCTTGCTTATTGGATAGGCTACCGGAAACCAAAACCAAATAAGAACGCGGACAATTGGAGCAACAGTTGCACCAATGGCTAACCCATATCGTGTACAGAGAGATTGTGGTATGATCTGCAAACCAAATTATGGAACTTAGTACTTCAACAACAACATCCCAGTATAATCCCACAAGTGAGGTCTGGGGAGGGTAGTATGTACGCAGACCTTACCCCTACCCCGAGGGGCAGAGAGACTGTTTCCAGGAGACCCTCAGCTTAAGAAAGCACCAAGTGACGATATATTAGTACTATTGATAGACTCATAATATAATAACATAAAATACATAACATACATAAAAGAAATTAAAATAGCAAAATAACAGCCATATAAGATGAGTATCAATTAAAAGAACTTAGTACTTCAAATTAAAATAAAATGAAACCAGGGAAGAAAAAACACATAAATCCCTTTTGCACTTGCTAAGGCCATAAGTTTGCAATATTTGAGAACTAACCTCACCAAAGAGGAGTATCAATGTCACAGAAAGAAGAATTGCTCCCCAATCCGGTACTAATTCATCAAGAAAAACAGGAAGTGCCTGGGGAATTGAAGAAGTATTCTTGTCAATTACAATTGTATAGCTGCTACACTTGTTTTATAGCAGCAGTGCTTACCTCCATAGCAGCAGCATTGCTGATCAGAAGCGTGCATAGCAATAGATGTTGTTGCTTCATAATGGGTAAGATCTTTGCTGAAATAACCCCAAAAAGTAGTTAAAATATTGGTCGTGAACATTTAAACCCGCACGGTATCCCTCTCTTAGAGAATACATTTGCCCCCCCATTGGTTTCCAAAAATGTCCTTAATGTATGTCCTGACTCCTGAGTTACTCTACTCGTTTTATTAGGTGTTTGGGTTGAAAACAATTTAGATTCTTTCACATGATATCAAAGTCATATTTTGAATATCTTATTTTCACAGCGGTCTTCTCGCTACCTAATGTACTTATTCATCCTCTCAGCTTCATGCCCTCTAGCCAAATTTTGGTAAGCTCATTTCCACAACTGTCTTCTCTCTGCCCAATGTATTTACTCTCCCTTTCAGCTCCAGGCTCACTTTCCTGTAACCATCTTCTCTCTACCTATTGTACATACTCTCCCTCTGAGCTCCAAGCTGACTCTTGGATCTGATTTCTCTAAATAAATAAATAAAAAAGCAAAAAAAATAATCCCCCGTTCCAGTTTATGTGAACCTATTTCCTTTTTGGTCCGTTCCAAAAAGAATGACCCCTTTCTAAATTTGGAAACCATTTAGCTTAAACTTACAATTCTACCTTTAATGAGAAGCTTTTATAACCACACAAATAATCTGGGTTCCTTTTTAACTTGTTTAGGACCACAAATTCCAAAAGTCTTCATTTTTTATTAAACTTCATGCTCAGTCAAACAAGTTCACATAAATTGGAACGGAGGGAGTAGTCTTCAATCGACGTGTAAATTCTAGAACTGAGTTACACTTGTGATTTCAATAATGGAATAGAAGAGCTGACTAATTGTGTCACTAGCGAGAAAGTTATAAGTATTCAATTTAATATTTGTCCTTGTTGCTTGGTAACTGGACTAAAGAATGACAAGAAACTTTTAATGCATAGAATAAATTAAGAAATGGAAAAGAAAGAAACAAATATATGTGGAGAGTGCATACAAGCATGGAGACGGTCTTTGGGCGTTCCAGATTTTGCTAGAACCTCAAGATCAATAATGCTCATAGACATGAGGCCTAACGTGAGCCCAGACATCAAACCAGCGCACAACACTAGAAACACAACTGCTACAATATAGAGGAAGAACTCTGTATTGCAACATTTCAAGCTCGTGTGTCCCATTTTAGTTTCTTCCTTCCTTTTCTTCTTAATTTGTGTCTTTTAATGAAATATAACTCTGTTTGAGGCTATGCATGAAGGACAAAAAAATGAAAATAAGCTAGTATTTGGGCGAGAAACCCCATGAACAAGCAGTGGAATATCTTTTTGCCTGTATGCAGGGAATAACAATATATCCGGCCAAGTTTCTTGGTTTACTCGATAAGTACATGAATCCAATTACTAGCCTTCTTAATTTTAGCAGCACATAATTGTTTCCTTTTTGACTAAAGACATCATTCTCATTTATTTGTGCTATTATACTACTCACAACTGCCAAATGGAAATTCCCATGTACTTATTATTGGGCTGAGGAATGTTATCAGACAGTCGGTGATGCTTTATACTTCAATACCACACAAGAGGGGGTGATTTGTGTGGTGATCAATTTTTCGCTTAAGCTGTTTATGGAAGGACTTGGTTCTTCTAAGTGTTCCTTAACCTACTATTGCAGAAATAGTAAATGCGGAAAGTAAAGAACACAAGTATTTTACGTGGAAAACACCTGGCTCAAAAGGTGAAAAAACCACGACCTACTTTCTAGTAGGATTTTCCCAAACTCTCCACTAAAATCACTGAGCCAAAAATTGCATTTACAAAAACTCTTTTGTAAACCTAGGACAAACTCTAATCCCGTTGTAGCACACAGCCTCAACTGTAGCGACAACTTCAAGTTAACTCTAACTTGAAAACTCTAAGTACCTAATACAATTGCTTCTAGATAAAGCTGAAAGGTACAATATGAAACCACCTACTACAATTGAACTAGAATAAAAGACAGACACTTGGAACTGGTTCTTCTGTCTGATTCAAGTAGCTTCAGGTTTGCACGCTTGAATTACAGACAAATTGCTTGCAAAATTGCTTGCTATTTTGCTCTCAATTCACTTTTAACTTCTGCTTATGTGTGTTACCTGTAAAAGAGAACAACACTCATATTTATAGAGTTAGTAAATAGATATTGATTAGAATTCTGATGCTACTCTTCCTTGGTGGAAGAGTTTTAGTTGATCTCAACCTCTAACTCCTTCCCTTTCTCAAATCGTATTCTCTTTGAGTAAGGAGTCCTTCTCCTTATCCAATATGCAAGAGATATTGCTTCTGGCAAGTTAGGTTTATCTCGTTCATGTGCATCTCACATACTTAAGTCTATCCATATCTGTGCTCCACTAGGATGAACCTTATTCATGTATGAGTTCCTTTGTCAGTCTTCAAAACTAGCATTTACTTGGGCCAACAGTCGGTGAATGATCCTAGCTGCCTCATAGCTTATAAACATTTCATATGGAATTTTACAATTTACTTTTTTTGTTATCTTCAAGCGTTAGAAATCAAATTTGTCACTTTAAAAATGTGAAAAGGAAATAACAGTTCAAAGAAAGAAGAAAAATTAAGTCGTACAAGAAATACATAAATATAACTGAATTAAATGTAGAACTAATAATGTACTATGAAATTAGAGTGCTAATATCCTGGAACCAAGTACTTTAGCTGGCCAATTATCTGCTGACAACTCAATTACTCACTCCGGAAAATGTTCTAAGGCCCACACTGAAGTATAATTAGAACCTTCTGTTGGGAATAAACCCCTTACCAAAATAATATTCATGGTAATAAAGCGGAATAATAATGTAGC